AATGGTAAATAGATACCCAGGAGTTAGTCGTTTGTAGTGGGGGTTGCCTACTGGGTAGGGTCAGTAAATTGACCAGGGGGGTGGGGGGAGTAGGGGCCTCAACATAAGCCTAACATATACACTAGCACATGTATATACACACAGGCTGCCTGTGCCCCTGATAAAATAAATTTTATTATATATATATATATATATTATATATATATATATATCTATATATATATATATATATATATATATATATATATATATTATATATATATAATATATATATATATATATATATATATATATATATATATATATATATATATATATATATATATATATATATATATCTATATATATATATATATATATATATATATATCTAATTATATATATATATTATATATATATTATATATTTATATATATTATATATATATTATATATATATATATATATATATAGACCTATATATATATATATATATATATATATATATTATATATATTTATATATATATATATATATAATATATATATATATATATATATATATATATATATATATATATATATATATATTTATTTCCTCAATCATGATGGCTTTGTTGATATTTATTAAACAATTTATTGCCTCTGAAGTACTATGGGGTTGTACATAACAGTAATAACCTTGGTTGGTCAAGTTTCAAAGCTTCATAAGTATACCTGGAAACTATCTGGAATGAGTTCCTAGAGTTCTTCAATTCCTAAAGCCCAGCCCTGGAGCCAGGTTTAACTGCTGATAACTTGGCCCAACAGGCTGTTGCTTAAAGCCGTCTTCAGGCCTGCATATTGGATGCCTAAATGATTAATGAATCCTACCCAAGTTTGTGCTCAATTATTTGGCTTGTAGCTGAATTTTCCAGCCAATAATTGATATGCCGGTCTCGAACGAAGTGATTATCCTACAGGAAGAGTCGTCTCACAATGAGCTGCCCTAATGCCAGCTTGCTCTTCCAGCAAGCCATTCTTATTTTTGATTAGTTTGGATTGGTTGGAAAGGAAGTGCATGGTTATGCTCTTACAAAAGGCTAGAAGCGTGTTAGATATGAGGCAGCCCCAAGTGCAACAAAGCACAGAGTGCAACAATAATGCAGCATGCGTAGGAGTTTGCTTCATAATTATCTGCATGAACCAAAACTCGTCAAATCACCAAAATGAAACCCCGAATGAGATATGATTTCATAATAAAAACCCTCGCATGAAAGTAAACAAAAGTGACGACGTCGAAACTTTGCAAGAGTCCCAGACAGACCAAACATCATCACTTTCACATCGTATCAGGGTAGGGTCATTCCACCCACATTATTGTGACAATCTCTGCACGATTTTTTAGTTTATACCGCGAACTTCAGAGAAACGTTTTAAAGGCAAAACACATTTATTGAAAATACTGTATTCAGCATTCATTAATGATTAAAGATGGCAATTAACAGTACATGGTAACGATGACTAGGTTCCTGTAAATGAATTATTGTTTCCAATTAGAAATACTGTATTAAACACCACTTAATTTGTAGGAAATGTAAATGACTTAAAATTTCACTTTAAGGAGTTTAATTTGGATGATTTAACGTTTGCATGGGTAATTCACGGGCCAAGGTTTGCTAAGGCTTACACACACTCATTACCCCGCATAGCACCTGAAGCAGGTAGCAGTCTCAACACGTAAACCTGGACAAGGGTTACGTGCTGAGACGTAAACCTAGAGCGTGTGAAAGTTTGCATAACAGCCGCGAAGAAAAGCTTGCGAGTCCTAGAAAGCTCAAAAACAGGACTACATCCATGGCCTCTTACCAGCAGGAAAACCAACCCACTTAGGCACACAATATATTTCCTCAAAATGATCCATATGCTCACGTGTTTGTGAGGCAGCGTGGCGTCCCTGAGTGAGTGAGTGTGAGTGAGGTGACTCACAAGACACTTCCCTCAAAGGTTACACAAACACGCCTGTGAATGAGGGGGTGTGGTGGCATTACTGGGGTCAGCGGCCACACACCCCATACGCCCACCTGGGCCCCCCACCCCCACCTGCCACCAGGGGCGCCTCACCTACCTGAAGGTGGTGCCGGCAGGTGACTAGAAGAAATTAGGCGACCTTGAGGGACCTATTAGTTAGTAGCGGCAGCGGCCGCCCACCACAACACACTGGACCAGCTGGGTATAAGGTCAGGAATCCTGCCTCGCATCACCTAACAACACTAAACTGAGCATCAAAACTTACTCCAGAAACTTCTTATGATTCCCCTCCGGCGCTCCCTCCCGCCCGGAGAAGGGGTTGAGTATTCCGGCACTTATAGCTGCCGAGCCACATGTAAACATGGCCACGCCGGGAAGGGTCTTGCGTAGGCTGGCAAGCAGCTCTTTTCGGCTGTTTTCACCACCTGGCTTCAGTGTCACCAGCTGCAGATGGCGCCAGGTGAGCCACCTGGGACGGTGGATGGAGACTATATGTCCCGAAGAATGGGTTATGATGGATCCCGGGGTTATGAGGGTTGTATTAAAATGTCGAATATGGACTGGTTTAACTCTTCTTCTTCTTGATAGTTGGTGCAGTTTGCATGAAGGGTTTGTCCTCCCGATGACTGCACTGGTTTAACTCGATGGTGAATGGACGTCTGGCTCCTGCTCGGCCTTGGGAGGTCATCAGAAACCAGGTTGAGATTTTCTTCCGTTGGGTTTTGATATTGCTGTGAGGCTTCCTGCTTGAACACCAGCCTGTTTCAATAATAATACTTTTTTTTTAAGTTCTAGTTTTGCCTGACCAAAAACTATTTGAACCTTAGCAACCTGTCTAGCTTTTCGAAGCCAGGGTATGGTCAAATCGTGCACAAGATAGTTCATCAAAGTTCTTTTTCTGATTATCAAAAATGTGTGCATTGTTAGGTAAGGATATATTAGCTTAAGTTAGGCTGTGATAGGCTTCGATGGATTAGGTTGGATAAGATAGCATAGGTTATAAAAGTCATTGCTGAACTGTCATGTATTCTGGAAGTCAATTCTTGGAAAATATTAATATTATGGTGCTATAATTTTTTAATAAAACCCTATAATTTTGACAGTTTGGGTGATTGCAGTAATACTAAAATGATATATTAGGTGAGCAAACAGACTGCTTCAACAGCCTGGATTTTTTATGCAGTGGCATTTGTAATAAATACAATCAAATTAACAGGCATTTTTAAGATTTTTTGTTTTAATTAGTAAAGCTGTGCATATCATTACCTAAAACATGGTTAAGTGAGGATAGGCTGGGTTGAGTTAGGCAGGGTTGAGTTGGGCTGCATTGAATTAGGATGGGTCGAGTTGGGAAGGTAGGGTTAGGTAAGGAAAGTTTAAAAACCCACTTCTGAGCCATCGTCGGTGCAAAATTACCAGTACCCCTATCACTGGGCTGACAGCAAAGTTGATGGATATTTACGTTTTTCCAATTAAATCATTTGGGAGTGGAGGCCAGAGTTGTCACGAATCGGCTGGCCATCGGTTTGGCTTTAGAATGTGGTGGGTGTCTTGTTTGTTCCGCAAGTGATCACTGGGAGATGATGTTTTTTCCCTAACCTGACTTTGGTTTCAGAGATATTCTACCATTAGGCTAATAATTTTATTCAAATGTATGAAATTACTGAGGATGACTTGACATCCTGGAGGATGACAAGACATCCTGGAGGATGACAAGACATCCTGGAGGATGACAAGACATCCTGGAGGATGACAAGACATCCTGGAGGATGACAAGACATCCTGGAGGATGACTTGACATCCTGGAGGATGACAAGACATCCTGGAGGATGACAAGACATCCTGGAGGATGACTGTACTACCAGGGGTCCTGGTAGTACAGTCGGGTTCATTCTCGACTCACAATCGAGAATTCCGGGTTCAAATCCCGGGCAGGACAGAAATGGGTGTGTACGTTTCCTTTCACCTAATGCACCTGTCCACCTAACAGTAATAGGTACCCCAGGAGTTAGTCAGCTTGTTGTGGGGTTGCATCCTGGGCAGGGTCAGTAATTCCATCCTTTGGGGAAAGGGGGGGGGAACTCGATATAAGCCTAACATGTACTGTATGTATAAACTGGCTGCCTGTCCCATGACACAATGAATTACTAACATATATCATGTAGATTCTCTAGTTGTTGATATGTTTAGTCTTCTAGGCCTATTTTTGTTTAGGGATCCTGCAGTTCAGTGGTCTACATCTTCTACTCACGATTAAAGATCCTGGGCTCAATCCTGAGTGGGACAAAAGTGTTTGGGCAATGTTTGTTTTCACTTGGTGTAGTAAAACAGATACCCAGGAGTTAGGGAACCATTGTGGGTTGCATTCCAGCCAAGATCTATAGTTGACCTAGGTAAGGGAGGGGGGGGGGAACTATATATGCCTAAGTACAGGCTTCCTATCACCAACAATGGGAATCTATGTGGTGGGGTCTGGTGCCAGCCAGACCCATTTCCCATTTTGTATAGGCCTACAGTATACACCTGTCAAATGCAGTGTTGACTTTTTCCATCAGGCAACAAATTTCTTTAGAGACTTGCTTGACAAACACGAGTGTGGCGGCATAACTGGCCGACCCTCACAGTGTTCAAGAGAGAGCTGGATAAGCACCTCCATAGGATACCTGATCAACCAGGCTGTGATTCATACGTCAGGATGCGAGCAGCCGCATCCAACAGCCTGGTTGACCAGTCCAGCAACCTGGAGGCCTGGTCGACGACTGGGCCGCGGGGACGCTAAGCCCCGGAAGCACCTCAAGGTAACCTCAAGATAAGGTGGCTCAGTAGAGCAAACATGTGTGGCTCTGTAGAGCAAACACGAGTGTGGCTCAGTAGAGCAAACACGAGTGTGGCTCAGTAGAGCAAACACGAGTGTGGCTCTGTAGAGCAAACACGAGTGTGGCTCTGTAGAGCAAACACGAGTGTGGCTCTGTAGAGCAAACACGAGTGTGGCTCTGTAGAGCAAACACGAGTGTGGCTCAGTAGAGCAAACACGAGTGTGGCTCTGTAGAGCAAACACGAGTGTGGCTCAGTAAAGCAAACACGAGTGTGGCTCAGTAGAGCAAACACGAGTGTGGCTCAGTAGAGCAAACACGAGTGTGGCTCAGTAGAGCAAACACGAGTGTGGCTCTGTAGAGCAAACACGAGTGTGGCTCAGTAGAGCAAACACGAGTGTGGCTCTGTAGAGCAAACACGAGTGTGGCTCTGTAGAGCAAACACGAGTGTGGCTCAGTAGAGCAAACACGAGTGTGGCTCTGTAGAGCAAACACGAGTGTGGCTCTGTAGAGCAAACACGAGTGTGGCTCTGTAGAGCAAACACGAGTGTGGCTCTGTAGAGCAAACACGAGTGTGGCTCAGTAGAGCAAACACGAGTGTGGCTCTGTAGAGCAAACACGAGTGTGGCTCAGTAGAGCAAACACGAGTGTGGCTCTGTAGAGCAAACACGAGTGTGGCTCAGTAGAGCAAACACGAGTGTGTGGCTCTGTAGAGCAAACACGAGTGTGGCTCAGTAGAGCAAACACGAGTGTGTGGCTCTGTAGAGCAAACACGAGTGTGTGGCTCTGTAGAGCAAATGAGTGAGCCACCCTTGAAAAGATGGTATTTAAGAATATTTTTTTATTTTCGTGTTTGTACTAAAAACAAGTTCATACTTTCAGTCGGTGCGAACAATGAGTGACGAAGTTACAAAGGCCACGTCAGCATCGCAAGTGCTAAAGTTTCAGCCAACCATCTTCGACAAGATCATCGACCGCTCCATTCCGGCAGACATTATTTACGAGGACGACAAGTGCTTGGCATTTCGCGACGTGAGCCCACAGGCCCCAACACACATACTTCTTATCCCCAAACAGCGAATCACAATGCTGAGTGAAGCCACGAACCAGGACACCTTGGTGAGCATCTTGTTGTTGTTGTGTCTCATAATGTAACCACACTGACCAGGCACCTTGTGAGCTTACTGTTGTTGTGTCTCATAATGTAACCACACTGACCAGACACCTTGTGAGCTTACTGTTCTTGTCTCATAATGTAACCACACTGACCAGACACCTTGCGAGCTTACTGTTGTTGTTGTCTCATAATGTAACCACACTGACCAGACACCTTGTGAGCTTACTGTTCTTGTCTCTTAATGTAACCACACTGACCAGACACCTTGTGAGCTTACTGTTGTTGTGTCTCATAATGTAACCACACTGACCAGACACCTTGTGAGCTTACTGTTGTTGTTGTGTCTCATAATGTAACCACACTGACCAGACACCTTGTGAGCTTACTGTTGTTGTTGTCTCATAATGTAACCACACTGACCAGACACCTTGTGAGCTTACTGTTCTTGTCTCTTAATGTAACCACACTGACCAGACACCTTGGTGAGCTTACTGTTGTTGTTGTCTCATAATGTAACCACACTGACCAGACACCTTGTGAGCTTACTGTTGTTGTTGTCTCATAATGTAACCACACTGACCAGGCACCTTGTGAGCTTACTGTTGTTGTTGTCTCATAATGTAACCACACTGACCAGGCACCTTGTGAGCTTACTGTTGTTGTTGTCTCATAATGTAACCACACTGACCAGACACCTTGTGAGCTTACTGTTGTTGTTGTCTCATAATGTAACCACACTGACCAGACACCTTGTGAGCTTACTGTTCTTGTCTCATAATGTAACCACACTGACCAGACACCTTGGTGAGCTTAATGTTATGTATCTCAGGTGTAGAAGATTGAACCAGTCTTCACAAGAAAACAGTATCTAAGAGCAGTAACCAAGCAGCATGCTCAAACACCTAATTTTTTCTGCTTAACTTTGTAAAAAAGAAATAACTATTGTAAATTGCCTAAACCAATACTGTAATCATAATTTGAGCTGCCGAGCACTTTTCTCTCATAATCTTTGCCACCAAAACTTTAAAGTCTGCACTTTATGCATTCTTTCTGGGGGGGAGCCCCTGCGGCTTCCCGGAGCGTACTGGGCTGATATGCTTTGGCATCAGTCATATGTATGGAGTTCTGTGGGCCTACCGGGGACCACGAGCCAGAACCTGGCCCCCTCAGAGAGGCAAGGGGAGCAATGGCCTATAGAAACCCCCGTGTGGTTGGAAGCATTTTATGTCTGCCATCGACTGGGTCAGGCACCCAGAAAGGTAAGCATCCCAAAACAAACCGCTTTTCTGGTGAAAATTTTGCTACCAAAAGCCGAACAAGTGGATAGAACTCCCCTAAAAGAAAACGAGCATGACGTCACACGTCGCCGCGCTGCTGTTTGCGCAGCTCCCCCCTCCCCGGGAGGGGTAAGGGGAAGCCCCAGACCCTCTACGCTGGCTATCCATCCATCAGTTCTTAAGCTGATGCTAGAGGCTCTGGTCGTGTGCTCTGGCTCCAGACATTGTTTCAGCACTGTGCTTTGAGTGTTGTGGCTGTCTTCAAGGGGTGCGAGAGCCAGGAGTTATTCTCCAGTACTCGAGCTGCATGCGCCTAGGGTTCCCTTCCCTTGGTGTCCTGTAAGTACTGCCCTTGGAGCTTGGGGTTCCCTTCCACAAGTTCTTTGGGTCCTGCCTCTGCTGGGACGTTTTACGGCTCGGTTTTTTGGCCACCCTTTGGGTGGGTGTTTCGGCCTTGGGTGTTTTGTCTCCCTTATCTGCCTTAGGGTAAGAGGCAGTTTGCACTGGTTGGGGATGCGATGTGCAGCGCAGCTTGTTTACCCCTATTATAGCAGCCGGCGCTGTTTCTCTAGGGTACGCTGTCCTCTTGCGGGGTTTTGTTTTTTGCTTTTGCCTTGTGGGGGGATCTCCCCTGCTTATTGTCCACTTGTCCTTGACCTCTTACGGTTCTCTGGTGGTGCCCCCTGCTAGGTCCCCGTGAGTGTACACGTCCCTGGGGGTGCAGCTTTAGTGTGTTTGCTTGGTAGTTTTGGGCGCCGGTTAGCAGTACCCTGCCTGGAGTTACCTAGGCGTGAGTCTCGTTAAGTGCTCAGGGTCCTGGAAAACCCCAAGGGGGCCCGTGGGTTCGATGGATGTGACCCCAAAGTTCCCCCCCCTCGTTTTGTGCGAGTTTGAGGGTTGTTTGGTCCCCTTGGCTCAGGGTGGTGACCCCTCACTGTTTTTGCCTACGTCACGCTGCCTGTTGGGTCTGGGACACTTTCGAACCTGAGTCCTGTGAGTTCTACTGCTTGCTAGTGACTCAATTTACCCAGTCTAGTGATGATGTTATGAGGGTACAGATGGGGCAGGCGTTGCATGCACGTTTTAGGTTGTTGCAACGCACCCGGTTGGTTGCTTATCCGAATGCCCCGAGACTGCCCCATTTGCTTATAGGGACCCGGACTCGGGGGGTGGGGGTCGCTTTGACCTTGGTTCAGTTCGCCCCCCCCCTCGTCCTTCCCTTCCTGTGGTACGTTCTGATCCATCCCCCCCCCCTCCTTCCTGCTTCCGGCCCCGAAGCGTCTGATGGTTTCGGAGCCGGAGCAGGGTTTAGATGGTCTTGAGGCTTGGGCAGTCTCGGGGTGCCCCTTCCGGTGTGACGACGGAGGCATTCGAGTCTAGTTTCCCTGCCGAAGCCACCAGGTTTGACTAGTGGGCCCCACTTCCGTTCAGCTTATGCGACCGCCCCGACCTTGTCTTTTGAAGCCGGTGCTTTGGGAGATGACTTGGTCCTGGGTCCTGCGGAGGAGGATCCCGGGGTGTGGAAGGGGCTGATTTGGGGGCCTTGGGCCCCACTGGACCCTGCCTGGGTTTTTCTACTCTCTGAGTGGGACTTGTTGTTACAAGGGGTGGGATTCTCTTTTCCCCCCTCTGCGTACGAATTGGATTTGGTGTCTGCCTCCTCCCCTGGTTTGGTTCTGTGTCCCCCCCGGGTGCGTCGGTTCCGTCCTTCCGGAGGTTTTCGGCTTCTCGCATCCTGTGGGAACCGACCTGTGAGATTTATATTTATTTAATTTATATGAATTTATATAGAATTTATATTTACATTAATTTATATATTTTGATAGCAATTGGTATGATGTTAAGTGGACTGTATTTCTGCAATAATCTCATAAATCGATCCTTACACATTAGGAGGGGTTTATATTAAATTTATAAATATGCAGCCAATCAAACTACAGTATTAAACTACATATATTAGTATATAAAATTGGGGGGTGCCTTATCTTATTGTACAGCAGGCTTAGTCCACCAGATATAACTGGGATGTAGACACCAAATTATCCTCGTGTGAGGCTAGCTTCCATCACCCATAGTAACTGATGTACCAAGATAAATTCTTGCTTCCTCTTCTTGTTCCTGTCAAAGGGCACTAGCTATAAAGCCGGAATCCTAATATATGACAGCTATATCAGAGAAAACACTGTATATTAAATAATAAGGACCAAGGCTTAATTACCTTTATTAAGAGGCTCGTTCGCATCCTAACCGGTTCGCCCTTATCTACCTAACATTAACTGGCCAGAAATGATTAGATAAACGGGTTTTGGTAGGACACTTCCCTTGTTTATGTTGACAGCGTGTTGATGATGGTAGAACACTTTGATCTCCAATTTGATCTCCACTTTGATCTCACTTCGTCCAAGAGAAATTAAAGGAGCTGAATTTGCTCCCTTGCGCCTCTAGTCTTAACAAACAATGGCTGCCCTTCCTCACCACACTGACGCCTTTGTTCTCCTTGTCCAATGTCAATAAGTGAGAGAAGGGTCACATTTACTCTATTTTGATACTGATAATTAAGTTAATTCAAATGAGATGTTTTTATGATATTAAAAGTCCAAAGACTAATGTATTTAAGAATAATTCCTAACAGAATAGCTGGTGAATTTATAGTACTATGTGGCAATGATATCCCGTTTTCTATTGATGGAAAATTCCACTACAAGCTACATTTTCTATGGGTTAACTTGTGTATACAATGGCAGCAATATTATCTGCCTATTGTATGTAATATTATTAAATGGTGTCGGATTTTCCGACACATCCAACCTACTGTGGTGCAGGCGGCCCTTGCGGCTTACCTCCTGCATGGCCTGGATTATGCCACGGTAATGGATCCGTCTTCGTTCAGGTTTGGGACTTAGTTATCTTTTTGGGTCTGTTACGAGGTTCCGGAGTCGTCCTGGCTGGCGGACTATCTTCTCTTTGCCTTGGAGGCTTGACATGCTTTCTGCCGTTCCTGCACGCTAGAGTGGCGCGAGGCTGCGACGGTGGTTCGGGTTTTCCTGGGTGGCGACCTGAAGTGCCTCAATGAGTGCTTGTTTGCCCCTGCCCTTCCCCGGGATGTGGGTGTGGTGCAGCTCCATGTGTAGGTTCCCTCCCTCTCAACTGCGCGGGTTTCTGAGGACTTGTGCGCCCGTGGCCTTTTGGTTTCGGCCTTGTATCTTTTTTCCGTCCTGGAGCTGTCCTCGGACTCGCTTGCGGAGCATGTGGGGGGACTCGGGGTCGTCCTTGGGTCCGGTGCCTTGGGCTCGGCGGCCCGCTCATCAGCTGCCTTGCTGAAGTTGTTTGTGCCGATCCTGCAGGATGCGGTTTCCCTGTTCTATGCGCCCTGGCTCGCGTGTCGGCAGGCAGTGCTTGCCTCCTCCCTGGAATCGGCCTGGGCCCTGGCTCTTAGGATGTCTTCACCTTTTTGTCCTCTGCTTTTTGAGGATTCTGCCGTGACGCAGTATATTCAGGCTGCTTCGGCTACTTGTCAGCCTATGTCTGACTTGTTGGTTCTCCGGGAGGTCCCAGGGGGGCCTTCCCGGAGGGGTCATGTAAGGGCTTGGGGTTCCTCTCATCGTGGTAGGCCACTGGTGCCAGGTTCGGGTTCGACCCCGCCTTCGTCTGGTCGGTGCGGTGGTCGCTCTGTGCAAGGTTCTGGGTCTCGTAAGGGGCGCCGGCCCTTTTGAGACTCAGTCTATCCGCTATCTATCCACTTGTTCGGCTTTTGGTAGCAATATTTTCACCAGAATAGGGGTTTGTTTAGGGATGCTTACCTTTCTGGGTGCCTGACCCGGTCGATGGCAGACATAGAATGCTTCCATCCACACGGGGGTTTCTATAGCACATTGCTCCCCATGCCTCTCTGAGGGGGCCAGGTTCTGGCTCATGGTCCCCGGTAGACCCACAGAATTCCATACACATGACTGATGCCAAAGTCTGACATTAGCATATGAGCCCAGTAAGCTCCGGGAAGCATCCGGGTCTCACCCAGAAAATGGCGTTGGAAGTGGAGAGGATTTGTTCTTTACGAGAGTGATCACAATACTGCTGACTGGGGCAGTGTGCCTTACAGTATGACACTAGAGGGTCATGTGGGCAGTTTGATCAATTTATGTACAGTAGTAGATTGAAAGACAAAAACAGGGTCCTTGTTAGGTTATTCTGATGGACGAATTTTCGTATGTTGGGTGTTTGTAAAACTGCGACTCTGTACACTGTACTGTATCATATTTCATGCTGCTTATTAAAAGTTATAATTTTAAGTTGTTGCAACAGTATGGCTGTGGAGCCATTAGTTGTGTTTCAAACTCATGTGCCCAAGTATGTGTTAGGTGGTGTGGCCATGTATGTTTTCCCCTTGTACTAGCCAAGTGTTTCATATCTACACAAGTCATGTCTCCAACATCACCTAGGGTCAGACCAAAAATAAAAAGGCTTCATCAAAGTATTCTTATAAAACAAAAGTCAAAACTGGTTTTCTTAAGTGATACCTAAACAACTTATGTTTAATACCATAACAAATGCTTTAATGAGGGTGTTTTGCCTGCTGACACTGTGTCTCGTAACATTATGTTTTTATATGTAGTATCCCTGCACTGTCGTCAAATATAATTTGTACTACTTTTTTTTATTAATTAAATGTATATTGTCTTTCAGCTGTTGGGTCACTTGCTGGTGACGGTGGGGAAAATTGCTGCTCAAGAAAACTTAAACAAAGGCTACCGTGTTGGTAAGAATATATCTCTGTACCGCTTATTATTTATTTTATTTATTTATATCTATATAAGAAGGTGCATTGGGTTTATGAAAGCACATAATATTGAGGTTTTTTACATTCTTGTAAAGCCACTAGGTAGCATTACATATCATATATATATGTATTACATAGCATTACATATCGCCGTACTATGCATTACCAGCCTTGATCAATTAATCACAAATGGCAATGCTTTTGATATTAATGTGAGTGCTTAACACTTTCGCCCGGGCATGACGCAATGCTGCGTCATCCGTTTACTGTCGGTAATCACGGGCATGACGCAATGCTGCGTCGTCCACTAAAATAATCACCAAAAATCAGGTTTTTATCCGATTTTTGGGGGGACTGTTTGGTAACTGTCAACAAGCCGAATGCAATCTGTGACTACAATACAAACATGAAAGGTGTTGATCACTTTGACCAAATGATCAAATATTATTACTTCATAAGGAAAACTCACAAATGGACGAAGAAAATGACCTTCTATTTTGTGCAAATGGCTATCTACAATGCTTATGTGATGTACAACTACTACACAAAAAATACTAAACTATAATACTACATATACTAAAATACTAAATACTAAACATTTGTGGGCAGGAATTGGGAGTGTAGCTGGAAGGCGTCTGGGCGCTCACTCGCGGCTAACGCGTGGCCCGTCTTCAACTCGTCGGCGGGTGGAGCGTGACCAGGTTTTTTATTTTATATGCTAATATTCCTCTAGAGAATTCTATTGCGAACCCATTGATACCAAAATGAAAGACCTAGGACGAAAATTGAGGTGACCAGAATGAAAAGAGTGAACACATTTTATCGCTTTTGCGCGCTCCTGGGTAACTCGTTCGCACTTTCTCTGTTTGCTGCGGGTAATTAGCCGGGCTTTTGGAGTTTATATGCATTTAGTGCTGTAGAGAATTCTATTGCGAACACAATGACACCAAATTTAATCTCGTAGGACGAGAATTGAGGTGACAAGGTTGAAGAGAGTATACACTTTTCAGAATTAACGCGCGCTCCCGTGAAACGCTGGGATCCAAATCGCACAGTTGAGGGGTGGCGCGCGGGGTACGCCAAAGTGTTAAGTTTCCCTTAATCAGTTTTCCAATATGTTAAATTTATGTATTGAAATGCGTAGTTAAAGGTTTGTTTGTTGGAAATAATGTTTTGCTTGCAAAGTTTGTTATTATATCACAAATACATAGGGTCAGTGCTGATAAAGGTTAAAGTTCAGGGCCACGATTCATCAAACATATTTACCCACTTACAAAATCTTTACATCTCTCCTTAATCCTTGGGCCGCTAAGGGTCATTATGGCTTCAACACTCACAGGCGCAACAAAAAATAAAATTCCAAAAAATTCCTTCGTCTTATAAAAGTGTTTATTTGTGTTCCCTGATCACGGAAAAAAAAAATCGTAGGTGTCATATTTTGGGCGCAATAGAGCGGGGAAATGTGGCAAAAAAACAGCGTTGAATGTAATGAAACGCCATTTTCTGGGTGAGACCCGGAGACTTCCCTGAACTTACTAGGCTTAAATGCTTATGTCAGACTTTGGCATCAGCCATGTGTATGGAATTCTGTGGGCCTACCGGGAAACACGAGCCAGAACCTGGCCCCTCAGAAAAGGCAAGGGGAGCAATGGCCTATAGAAACCCCCGTGTGGTTGGAAGCATTCTATGTCTGCCATCGACTGGGTCAGGCACCCAGAAAGGTAAGCATCCCAAAACAAACCCCTATTCCGGTGAAAATATTGCTACCAAAAGCCTAACAAGTGGATAGAACTCCCCTAAATGATCATAACGTCACACGTCGCTGCGCCACTGTCTGCGCAGCTCCCCCCTACCTGAAGGGGGAAGGGGGAGCCCCAGACCCCACATGACTAAGACAGTTCTTAGGCTGGATGTCAGAACACGCGAAAAACCGCCGACTGGAGGGAGGGAGGGATGCCGGGGAGCCTCCATGTCTCACCCAGAAAATGGCGTTTCATTACATTCAACGCTGGTTCTCTGGGGGGGAGCCGCTTTGGCTCCCCGGAGCTAACTACCCACAGAGGAAAAAACCTAGGGACTTACCTGGGAGGCGGTCGCTGCTCACTTTTCAACTCGAAGTCGAGAGAACTGGCTGCACCCGCCGACCCAAAGCGACACAGGCTTGACTAGGCCCAGGGACGTTCACAAGGTAACGAGCAGCCAGGACCCTGTTCGACCGCCAAAAGCCCCGTGCTCGAATGTCAGCCCACGACATGTTGCCAAAGACGGCAGCAAGAGCAGTGAACTTACGAACGTCCTGGGCACGAAGATAGACCACAGGCTGGCTTGCCTTAATAACTCTGCGGACGACCTGGAAGACCCGCACCTGCAAACAGGAAAGAAGGGAAACCGGATCAATCCAAAGCGCATCCCAGGAAACAGAAGCCGTGGCACACAAATAACGGCGAAGAGCCACAACCGGACACAAAACATGATGCATCCCCTGGCTTAACCAACCAAGCATCCACAACCCAGGGACCCCTTCGAAAAGCAGCAGTCTCACTCTTCACCAGAAAAGGAGGAGACGGCTGCAAACGAACCAAACCAAAGACTGAAAGAGCAGAAACCCCTGCACCGGAGGAGAGCTTGAAGTTCACCAACCCGACCCCCAGAGGCCAATGCAACAGAAAAAGAGCCTTGGAGAAACAATCCTGAACCAAAGGGGCCACATCAAACCGAGGAGAAGAAAGATAAAAGAGCACTCTGTCCAATGACCAGGATGGCTCAGGTGGCGCATGAGCAGGCCGGAGGTGAAACAACGCCCGAGACAGTTTGCAAAACGGCACAGAAGTAATATCAATACCGAAAGCAAGCTGAAGCGGCTCCACCAGCGCTGCACGATAAGAGGCGACAGTGTTAGGCATAAGGTGATGGTCCTGGAACAACCAAGAGAGAAAGGACAACACCAACCTAACAGAAATCGAAGTACAACAAAGACCTAGGAAGAAACGGAAGGACCGCCAGGAAACCTCATACTGCCGCCGAGATGAAACCCGCAGGTGGGACACTAACAAGGAAGCTACCTGATCACCATAGAGATGATGATAAACTTGAGTCAGAAACACCATACGCGAAGACTCGAGCAGAAGACCGAACCACCCAGAAGACTCGAGCAGAAGACCAAAATGCTTCCTCAGTATCTTGCTCATTTCTTTGTTGTCATCAGTGAAAGTTCTATCTCCCTTTCACAGGGGCCCGATACTAGATATGGTTTTTTATCTTGATTTTGCATAAGAGAAAAAGTATTTTGGATTTCTCTCTACAGTATTTCACTGATGGCCTTTTGCTCTCTTTGCCTCTCCTCGGTTTTGTATGATTCTTGTAGCTTTAGTTCAATTGTTTCTATTTCTCTACCTAACCTTCTTTGCCGTTCTTGAGATAGGATGCGACTCAAGTTGTTCCGCGATTCGTTTTCTTCGCTTATAGAGGGAACGACGTTCTCGTTCCAATCTGCATCTCTTCCTCTCTTTTTCTTAGGGGTATGCGGTTTGAGCATATTTATAGTGCTACTGAGCTTATTTTTTCTAGGCACTGGTTCAGGTTTTCATTTTCTAGCTGTTCTTCCCAGCATATTTCTGTGAAGTCTTGGTTTATTTGCTCCCAGTTTATCTGTTTATTATTGAAGTTGAATTTGCTGAAATCTCCTCCACCGGAAATAAGGACTGGTTTTGAAGGTCTATTCCCCATGCTAGTCAGAACTTCATTTAAGTTGTGATCTGAGTAACAGGTGCAGTGGAGCCTCGACTTACGGTGGTAATCCGTTCCCAGAGACGGATCGTAAGTCGAAGCAATTTTTCCCATAAAAAATAAAGAATTAATCCGTTCCCCAGCCTCCAAAATATTAACTTACAAATACATTTTATACTGAATACAATTTTGTTCTCTGACTACAATACAGTACATATGTTTATCCTACCCTTATGGAGGACTCTTGATGGTGTATGGAAGATGGTGATGAGGGGGGGGAGGAGGAGGAGAGGTGTTACTGTTTGGAAGGGAAGTCCCCTTCCATTATAACATCAGGCAGTGATGACTTTTCTGGGATACACTCTCTGGCATGTTTTGCCTGCATACCACTAGGACCTGCTTGTGGCTCACTGCTTGCTTGTCTTACTAAGAATCTGTCTAAAAACACTGGTTTTTCCCTACATTTTAACACTTGTCTGTAGTAAGACATCACATTGTCATTTAAAAGGTCAATGCAACGGCCTGCTACAGCTTTATCTGGGTGAGTTTTTTAAACAAAACTTTGCAGTTCTTCCCATACTTCACACATTTTCTTAATGAGGAAGGAATATCCTCTACTGCCTCAACTCACAACTATTTTCTTAGGTTGAACCTTACCATTGACTTTCTTGGGACCCATGGTGTGATATATAATAATCAGTTTTATGTTCAAAATGCAAAAAATCACCACAAAAACAGAGTTTCTTATAGGCGTGATCATCACTAAGCGGGCAGCTCTAGTAAACTAAGGCAGGTTGGCCCGCGTGATCGGGAACCACGTGCTCGGTCGACCCAAACGTGTACCAACAAATATCCTTAGTCGACGACACTATCGTAAGTCGAGTCGCATTTTTCTATCAAATTTACATTGTAATTCAGGGCAATCATAAGTCGAGGTGCCACTGTATTTGTAATCATTATGTTCCTGATCAATTCATCATTATTGGTGAAAATGAGGTCCAACATGTTCTCCTTCCTAGTTGGTTCGACTATTTGCTAGTTTCTTATCACAGTTCTTGCTGATAATTGTCTCTTCTTGTTTCCTCTCTGACATCTTGCTCCAGGAAGGTCCTTTCTACTACTTCTGCAGACTGTGCTCTCCATGTCTCTCCCCTTGTTTCCCAGTCAATTTGACCATGATTAAAGTCACCGATTATTAGTAGCTTTCGTCTCGGTCTGTGAGCTGTCTGTGCCATCTCTCACAGGATATTTATGAATGCTCTGTTGATGTTTATATATATATATAAGTGTGTGTCTTTTGGGATTCTCAGGGTAGTCGTAGATCACAGCCATCACCAAGTCGATTTGACTAGCAATGACACATCCCGTTCCCTCTGTTTTGTCCTGTTGCAGGACATATACGTATGATGGCTTCATTTTAATTACAAAGTTATCACAGCACTGCTGTTATTACATTATCAGTTAATGCATTTTCATCATTGTTTTTTATTTCAGTAATCAATAATGGAGCAGATGGAGCACAGTCTGTCTATTATCTACACCTTCACATCCTTGGAGGTCGGCAGATGACATGGCCGCCAGGGTAGAGGCAGAACACCTGACTGCCAATGTTGTGGCATATGTCATGGCTGCCAATGTTGTGGTGTATGTCATGGCTGCCAATGTTGTGGTGTATGTCATGGCTGCCAGTGTTGTGGTGTATGTCATGGCTGCCAGTGTTGTGGTGTATGTCATAGCTGCCAGTGTTGTGGTATATGTCATGGCTGCCACATAGTGGGCATTTGAATTGACTGCCACTAAGTGGGCATATTATATGATTGCCATGTAGTGGGCATTTATCTTGCCCTCCAATGCCACGGCAAATTTATAATAAATAACTCAAAACATTCATTAGCATTTTTTACTGTAATAAAATAATAAAACAGAATAATTTCCTGGTAATATGACTAAAAGGATAAGTGTGGGGTAGGTAGATAACATATATTTTAGAATTATTTATGTAAAGTGAAACTTGGATTAAGCGGATACATCAGGACAAGATGTGTTCTGCTTCACCGAGGAATCCGGCTCGCCGAGTGTATATCCAGTTTTCACCAATTATGTACAGTATTGCCAATTCCTTTGTTGTTTTTGCTGTTTGCATATTGCTTTTTCAGAAATCATTGTTGCAAACTTGTGTGGGAAATGTGTGTGTGTGTTACAACTTTAACTATTAAAATTTCAATTGATTTGAATAATTTTGTTTAGCTTTTCTACCTACAACTTCAGCTATTCAACATGCTAAACCTACTGCAAATATTAACTGTAAGACATAACTTTAGAATATGGCCTAAAGGTATTTTCAAGAGGCCTATTGTTCCATGTGAGGTAATATAAAGGTATCTGCAGGAGGCCTATTGTTCCATGTGAGGTAATCTAAAGGTATCTGCAGGAGGCCTATTGTTCCATGTGAGGCAATCTAAAAGTATCTGCAGGAGGCCTATTGTTCCATGTGAGGTAATATAAAGGTATCTGCAGGAGGCCTATTGTTCCATGTGAGGCAATCTAAAGGTATCTGCAGGAGGCCTATTGTTCCATGTGAGGTAATATAAAGGTATCTGCAGGAGGCCTATTGTTCCATGTGAGGTAATCTAAAGGTATCTGCAGGAGGCCTATTGTTCCATGTGAGGTAATCTAAAGGTATCTGCAGGAGGCCTATTGTTCCATGTGAGGTAATCTAAATGCCTCACATGGAACAAATGTGAGACAAAAATAAAAACTAATTTTTAAATGTGATAGTGGATCCAACCCTGATTGGTCACTGACACTCCCATACACCCCGTGTGTCATTTTGGAAAGTTGGGCGAGGCCATTCACTCTGGCTTCCAACCTCGTATACACCATTCTCCTATAATATTAATAATAATAATAATAATAATAATAATTTATTTGAAAGAAGGTACAATAGGTTGGTGAGATTACATAGGATTGGTATTTTTACATTCATGTAAAGCCACTAACATGCGTAGCATTTCAGGCAGTCCTTAATCTAACATATCGGGTAAGATTAAAAGGTACGTTCTAGCAAGGTTTTTATATCAACAAGTAACTGCAATATAAGTTGACAAGAGTTGATTACTGTGACGTGACCTGGAATAGAGCAGTAACTATTCTGGCAGGTGTTGTGCCAAACGCACATTAATAAAAAAAAAAAGAAAACAAAATAAAATAAATCTGCTTGGGTCCTCTACAGTGTTTCAATTGCGGGCAAAAAACAAAGAGAATAAAAACTTTTAACATTTAATTTAATAAAAAAATTACTTTAATTTCACACAATCATAAGTAACAATTAATGAAAAAAACTTATCCACTTGGCTTAAACACAGTCAAAAGAGAAATATATACATGTGAATTTTACGTTAATAACAAAGGTGAACGTAAAAATTGATACAAAATGTGCGTCTACCGTCACCTGTGGGCGAGGCTAGATGCTGATCACTATGCTGAAGCAATGATCACTAGAAGGGTAATCTGCTGCGTTGGATGATGATGATGAATATTAAGCCACCCAAAAGGTGGCACAGGCATGAATAGCCCGTAATTGGTGGCCCTTTTTAGCCATCACCAGTATCAAGAGATGATACTGGAGATCTGTGGAGGTGCGACTGCACCCTGCGTGACGGGAGATGTCTCCCGTATTGCGCTGGACGCTGACAAGCCTTTATATACAGGGTGTGACATCATATTGGTGCAAATTCTGGAGTTGTAGACTAGAAGCCAGCAAGAAAACTACCATAGCGATAGTTTGTCTGGCGTCGGGAGTCATGAGAACCATGACAAATAATCATGAGAGCCAAAATAAAATACTGTACTACAAAAATAAATTTACTCAAATAAGGGCAACATTAAGAAAACGAGGTACTATTTCCCAAATATTAGGATAAAAAAAAATAGATAAAAAACCAGTACGCCTATCCAATAACGATGGTTTGCTTTCAGCCTCTGATACTGTTATTGAATTCAATGGGTTCTTCTCATCCATTGGGATATCCCTTGCTAATGATATTCCATCCTCCCTACCTAATGTTCAGGACTACCTTACAGGTAACTATCCACAGTCTCTGTACCTAATGCCTGCTAACTCCACTAATGTTAATGAGATAATCCTTTCCCTTAAAACAAAGTCTAGTGCCCTTGCTGAGATACTAACTCTAATTAAAAAAGAAGCCTCCAGATTTTTAGCTCCTGCCATTGCATTGCTCTACAAGAAGTCACTTTAACTCCACATCTTTCCAGATATTCTAAAAAAAAAGTGAGAGTAACCCTGGTCCATAAATGTGGTGATCTCACTGATGTCAACAATTTCAGACCTATATCAATTCTGCCAAACTTGTCAGAAATATTTGAAAAACTTATCTACAAGCAACTTTACTCTTATCTAGCCAAACACAATATAATTAACTCTTGCCAATATGGCTTCAGACCCAAAAAAAGCACTAACGATGCACTTATTAGTATGATTAACTTGATACATGCAGCCCTTGATAAAAATGGGTTCCCTGTTGGGTTATTTGTGGACCTACATCAGGCTTTTGACACTGTCAACTACCAAAATCTTCTTAAATTACATCATTATGGAGTCAAAGGTCACTCCCTACAATACCTTCAATCTTGCCTTACTGACAGGCTCCAGTATATTTCTGTGAATAATTCCATTTCTCCTACCCTATCCATAAACACTGGTGTTCCACAGGGTAGCATAATTGGCCCTCTCCTCTTTCTCATCTACATTAATGACCTTCCAAATGCCTCCCAACACCTCAACCCACAGTCCGAACCGGCCCGAGGTCGTGTGCGGTGGTAGTGTAGGCGCTCCTGGATATTGTGAAATTGTGCTCAACTGCTGCATTTGTACTATGCATCTGCGTGTTGGAGAAATGGCAGAGGCGGTCTGCCTCAGTGATGGACAATCCTGCACTGGGACTGTCGATTGTGAGAGTGAGGATGACTCTCAAGTACAGGGTGATACCAGGCTGTACAACGTTGCAATGTCCAGGAAAAACGGCGTAGTTTTCATAGAGAGCGAGACAGTGATAGTGAAGAGGAAATGAAAAAGAGACAGAAAAATTGCTGTGATCCACGACAGGAGACAACTATGGTACAAACTCCCAGGAACTCTCAACAGGCAACCCTACCCAGCAGGACGCAAGACACGAAGATTAATAGAAGGAACTAAGGAAGCGGCTGTTATTCCCTACAACATGCCAACTGAACTTCCACCAAAAGCTGGAGTGGACGGTACGTCTGGCTAAGGAGTGTTTGGAATATGAACCACTCTTCAATGAGGGTCTTCACCGGCCCTACATAACAGTTGGGACAGAAAAGGCCATGGAATGCCTAACGACGATTGGTTTTGAGAATATTGTGATGGTTACTCCGGAAGAACGTATGATGCACACAAAGATCATAGTTTTAAATATTCAACTTATTTGGATCCTGATTGTCTTCTTCTCAACAATGATAGTGTTGTTTGGGCAAAGAGGAACAGCGTTCGTGGTGAAAAACAATGCCAGGTTGTTGCCTTGGTAAAGGGTGAGGCTCCGGAAAGAGCCTCTGAATTTTTGCGCAAGGACTAGGCTACAGGAAAGTTGCAAAATACATTGAGGAGCCCATATTATGCATGAAGTGTTCTCGTTGAGGACATATGGCATGGAAATGCCAGTTTGACCCCAGGTGTCGGTATTGTGGTAAGAAACACAACTCGCAAGAGTTTAGAGTCAAGATTGAAAAAAGTGAAAAAAAAATCGTCCCATTTTGCTGCAATTGTCGAGGCAGCCACAATACTGGTTCCTATCTATGCCTCATGAAGCCTCATCTGAGAGACGCTAGAACGGGTCCTACAAGCAGGATAGATGTATCCTCGAAGGAAGGAAAGATTGTGCAGCAGGAACATGGAGGAAAGAGCTGGAAGCCAACGACAGCCCCTATGAATAATGTGTGGGAGAAAGGAACGGAGATAATTAAGGTGAGTTTTGGGCATCCCTAAGTGTATTGTGTTGTGACTAGGATGCAACGTGGGGCTTAGCTACCCCAGGCTGCTTCAAGCCTTCGAGTTCTTTTCAAGTAGACTTTACCCTAGCTTTTCCAAGTGTAAGCCTTGTATCCTATCTATGTGGACCAAGGTGGTTAACGTAAGGTAGTGTGGTAAAGTGTTTTTTATTATAGTAATGTATATGGGGGTTATTAGAGGGTTTAATAAATAAGTTAGTTTTTGAGGTGTATCCATTAATCCTGTTGAAGTGTTGTAGGTGATTGTCGTCTAGACAACAGATCTGTTTCTAAAACCTTGAAGCATTAACAGGAAACTATGTTCCTTGGGGGGCCGGGCCTATCTATCCCACTATTTTTGATACATCTTGATTCTAGCTATTGGCCCTTCTGAGTAACACTTCATACTCCCCATAACAGCTAGTGTTTATATTGCTAAGTTACTCTAAGGGGTCTCAGTGGAACCACGTGTGCTCAAGTAGTACCGGGCTAGAGTCGTTGCTAGTGTCCCTTGCCAAGTAGTCTTTACCTTAGTTGCCCTTGTAAACCTTGAATCCTGCTTATGTGGACCAAGGTATTTAACGTAAGATAGAGTGGTAAAGAGAATAAGTGTTTTTAATATACTTATACTTATCTCTCTCATCTCATTTTTCTCTTGTAATGTATCTTTATCATTTATCAATTCTGATTGAAATTACCTACTTAAAATTATCTGCTAGATTAAGGACCTGCCCGAAACGCTGCGCATACTAGTGGCTTTACAAGAATGTAAATACTGTACTATCCAATGTATTCTCACAAACCCAATGTACCTTCTTGTATATATATAAATAAAATAAAATAAAATAAAATAAAATAAATTTTAGTGTGTTAATGTATATGGGGGGTTGTTAGAGGGTTTAATAAATAAGGTATAAGAAGGAGGTTTCCTTTAACCCTGTTGAGTGTGGAATAGGGAATCACCTTAGACTGCGAGTAGATATCCTAACCTAACTTTTATTACTTATTGGGAATAAGTACCTCCTTCCCTGGAGGCCGGGGCCTTCCTAAATCCACTAGTTTAGGAATTCTTTTATCTTGTACCATTGGCCCTGTCAGTTTAGTCACATACCTTTCCATTACAACATCCTCTCAGTGATAACCAATGGGAGAAACTGGAAGTGTCTCAAAATGATGCCCTCAGAACAATGCTGGGAGCACCTATATGGACGCGTAGAGAGAATCTAAGAATGGAAACCAACTTACCAGCCTTAGAAAACAGGATCAAACAAAGGATAGTCACCATAACAGCAAAACTTGTTGGAACCACCGCCAGACTGTCAATCAAAGATAGCTTCAGAGAAACCTTCAATATAGAACAAGCGCATGGACGGATAATCTGGTGAAGATTCTAGAGAAAGTGGGCTTGAAATGGACCATTAAAAACAAAGGGGAAGATAGACCATATCAACACTTTCGGCAGCTTCCTCCATGGGAAGAATCGAGTCTAAAGATTATCATTGAAGGATTACCAGTTAAAAATCAGCATGTGACTCGCAGAGGCTCAAAGCAGTTATAGAACAACAAATGGAAACCATCTCAAGACCTACAACGACTCACATCTTCACAGATGGATCAGTTGATCAACAAAGAGGTTCTGCTGGGGCAGCAGTTTACACTACCATCCATGAAGCTTACTGGAGCATGAATAGTGGGTGCTCAACATTGCAAACAGAATTATATGCCCTGAAGGAGGCCATAAATTATACAATTGAGAATAATTTACATTATGTCATCAGTCATACCGACTCTAAATCTTAGCTCCAGGTATTGTTATCTAGTCAACACAGAGACAATATACAACTCACAGAAATCCAACATATAGGAAAAGAAGCCCATAATCTAGGGCTGTCAATCACCCTAAATTGGATACCAGGTTACATTGGCATAGATGGTAATGAAAAGGCAGACTCACTAGCAAAAACTGCCACTGCTCTACCTGTTATACAGGTTCAAATACCTCCAAGTTTTTTACTGGTTAAGGAGCAAATCAAGAAGAAAATACTCCCAACTATCAAAACTCACCACAGAGCCAAAGTAGCGGAAGGAAGATCCACTGCGATATGGTACGAACAAGCCACTGGTTACTCCTCTTTCAAGCCTGACAAAAAGATATCCAGAGACATAGCAGTGGCCATACACAGACTCAGACTTGGTTACAAGTGCTGCTGGGAGGTAATAAACCCAATAGTTAAAGAGTGTCAAATTTGTGGAACAGAAGCAGAGACGCCATTACTGCACTACTTACTGGAATGTGAAGCTACTGAAGCCCTGCGCATTAAACTCAACATTAATCCAACGACAGCGGCTACATTTGATGTACATGCCACAGCCACTACAATGATTAGAAAAGCCGTTAAAGAATGGGACTCACTAGTGAACATTCTGCACCTACATCCGCCACCAAGATAAGTTATTAAAACAAGACTAAAACAGAAGCGAAAAAGAAACAAGGGGAAAAAGGAGGAAACCCCACCTCCATTTAATATTTTGACCCAAATATCAGAGTAACAAGGTTATCGAGAATAACCGAACTCAACTGCGGGCTCACCATAGCCCGTGCTACATGGGCATTTCGTTCTGAGTAGCTAAATCTAAAACAACAACAACAACGTATTTTCTTCAAGTTACAGCCCCGCTCTTGTGCCAGGTAAGTCCACCACGGGCTCACCATAGCCCGTGCTACTTGGAACTTTTTGTTCCAAGTAGCGAATTTTAAACAACAACAACAACGTATTTTTTCTAACTGCAATACCGCGCCGATCTGCGGCAAAGGTGGAGCAAGCTCCTAGCACTTCGCCATGTTGCAAAAATCAGTTTAATATCGAGGATCCCACATGGGGATCGTATCAGATATTAAGCAGATAAGAAGAGATTTTATTTGCAAAAATGGTACAGCGTGGGTTTTTACAATGCTTTCATCAGGCCTAAGCTTAACATTTTTGGCAAAGCTAAGGTTTATGGGTCTCTGGGTCTGGTCTAAGGTAATTTGTATTTTTGTATTTGTTTGTTTACAAAGGATCTATGCAAGTTACAGAGTGTGAATTATTTTTGGCCTAACATTTATATAATACAAATTTTTACATACATACTAATAGACATATTATTCATATTGTCGAGCCCCAGTGATGTGCTCGATGTACCGCATCCTTGACCATCTGATCGCCTCACACACAGCTTCCTGAAGGTGGCGAGGGACTTCTTCGATGCCAATCTCTTCATCAGTCGCTCATTGAGTGGGTCGTATGATCCTAGTGGTCCAACTATGAAGGCGTGGATGGTCACTCTGTTGTACCGCAGCAACGCCCTCATCTTGGCAGCAAGGTCGGCGAACTTCGTTTCCATCTCAGTCTGTGCGTCTGCACCCATGACACCCGTAACAGAACCCATGAGCACCACACCAGAAATAAATACAGTTTTGATATTCCTAGAGTATGTCTTAATCAAACTAGAAATGCTCTGCAAATCAAGGGGCCCAGAATGTGGAATGACCTTCCCAACCATGTTAAAGACTGTACCTCTCTCAACCAGTTTAAGATAAAAACTAAACACTACCTAATAAATTCCCTGTAATCTACCTCACTCCTCTATTGTCAACCCATGTCTGTTATTTTCTTTTTTTTTTTTCTTTTTTGTAATCAACACTGTTTGTCAACCTATTGTATTTGTGCTGCTTTTTCAGTCATGTTCCCCCTTTTTTTTATCTTTATTTGTATTTGTTCTCAACATCTTTTATTCTTTATGCTCAATTAGTATTAAGTTCTAGATATTAATGTTTTTCTTGCCCGAAACGCATTGCGTAATAGTGGCTTTAGGCATTGTATGTACTAGCTCTATCTATATATCAATCCATTAATGTAACATCACTTGTATGTATATACCTTACCTGAATAAACATCTGAATCTGAATCTGAATCTGCAAAGGCAGCCCCCGTGTTCTCAACGGGGCAGGTGATGTCGATGATCAGAAGTTCGTTGTCCTCGATGACGAGGTCGGGTTTAAGGACACTGTGCTTAGAACGCGCTGATTTTCTGATATCACTTTCCAATGGCGTCCTAAGACGGCTATCTTGACTTTGTCCAATAGGGCGTTATGAATCCTTCTGTAGGCATCAGAGTATGTCATGCAATGGCACATGACATGTGGCAAAGTTTCGTTTTGCCAAGCACATCGGCGGCAGGTTTTGTTTGCATTTGGTCGTCGGGTGACTCCACTCAGAGGTAGCAAGTTCAATCTTGCTCGGTGTATGAAGCGCCAGTCAGCAAACGTCGTGTACTCTCCATCTCTCATGAAGTGAGATGATGCTTTTTCTTGTGAGACCACACTCATTACTTTCCTCTGGTCTCATACGGTTTGTAGACGGGCATCGCGAAGAAGTCTGTTGTGGTTTCTGATGGTTCTGGCTACTATTCTTCTTGCTGCAGCTTTTAGAGTCTTGTTACCACATGTTATGGAGATGCTTTCTCCATCAGCTGTCCATGTCGTCTCCATCCTTCCGGAGACATCCCTTCCCCGAGACCAGAGAGTTTGGATTTGGCTTGATCTTCCAGGCAGTTCGTCTTTGGAGAGATAGGAACAGACGTGTTTAGGTATAACTTCTTCTCTTCTTCTTTCAGCCACTACGAGGCGGCAATCTTCTCGTGCAATCTCCTTTGTGTCAACATCCGGCGAGTTTAGGAGTTTGAATGTCATGTCGACGATGAATAAGTCAGAGTCTTCTGCTGCTAACGGGATCCCACAGGATCCCGCTCGTGTGCTGCCATAAAGGTACTCGTTGGTTGCACATTCTGGCAGATACAGGTCTTCTTAATGTGTGGTTTCAGCTTGACATTTAACTTGGCCCACGCAGTCTTCTTAAATTGCCAGGTTCTCATTGCAAAGACTGTCGAGGAGAAGACGAGTGTCTTCAGTGCATAGAGTCTCTACCATGGAGCCAACTTGCTCAGAAGAACTTTCCTCCCAAGTTCGACGTATTCTTCAATTGAGGAATCATTAGACGTTAGTTGGAAGCCGACAGGGCGTCCCAAGAACTTGGAGTGGTCTCCCCCAAGCCGATATTGTATGTTGGTTCCCCCAATCTGGATCTGGGTCTCTCTCAATCCCACTGATGTGCGTCCCGACATGTGCATGGCGTAGCACTTGTTTGGGTTAACAAGTTTCAGTTTCAACAAACTCAAACAAGGTGAGTTTCACGGCTTGGCAGGCTCTCCCAGCTGTGTCGAGTAGAGCTTGCAGTCTCTTCGTTCTCGGCGAGCAAGGTGATGTTGTCGGCGTATGCTAGGCAAGGATGCTTCAAGTCTGGGTCAGCCTCAAGGCCAGCGTTGATTGCAGTCCTCAGAATAGCTTCGATGGCAATGTTGAAGAAAAGTCCACTTATCGGGCATCCTTGCCTGACTCTGCAGTTGGCTGGGATTTCGTCCGTCTCGCCACTAATCGTCATAACTCTTGTAGTGTTGCTGTTGACAACTGCTAGGAAGTCATCTCCTGCTCCCATCCGCCGGAGTGCTGCGGAGATGAGTTCAGTCGGGACGGAACCGAGGGCATTTGTTATGTCGAGGGAAGCAATGCAGATGTCTTTGTGGCCATGTCCTGTCGTCGCTGCATCCAGATAGTGTTGCAGGACGAAGTTATGTTTTTTTTTTTTTTTTTTTTTTTTTTGAGATATATACAAGAGTTGTTACATTCTTGTACAGCCACTAGTACGCGTAGCGTTTCGGGCAGGTCCCTGGAATACGATCCCCTGCCGCGAAGAATCGTTTTTTCATCCAAGTACACATTTTACTGTTGCGTTAAACAGAGGCTCAGTTCAAGGACTCAGTCCGTTGGCATAAATCTCATCTAGGCGGGACACACCACTTCGTTATCGACGATCCAGTTTCCCAGTCTAGAGGAGAGGCAACCAGTATACAACTTGTATATGGTGCGGTAGAGTGTAATTGATCTCCAGTTTGTGATGTCATTAGGGTCACCTGCCTTGGGGATGAGTACCGTCCGGGAAGACTTGCAAGCCTCTGAGATCCTTTGTTGACTGAAGCATATGTTGAGGATGGCTGTGATTACACGGCATCCTGGGTCTTCTCGCTTCCAGTGGCTGTAGGTGAGCCTGTCATCTCCAGGAGCAGTGTTCTCTGTCCTGGAGAGCCTCGTTGCTACTTCTCGTTCCGTGAGCTCTCCGGTGTCCATTTCCCTGCGGTCGTCAGGTGGTTCAGGTATAGCAGTAATTATGTCGGGATTTTAGAGGGGGGTCTTGTACGCCAAGCGTATGGGTGAAGTGCTCCTCAACTAGTTCTTTGGGGATGGCACAGCAGGCACTTTCTCTTGTTGTGATGAGTCTTACTGCCCTCCTCCGATTTCTTCTATACAGCCGTTGGATAGCTGTACAGTCGTTGACGTCAATGGCAGTTGATGTAGTCGGTCTACCATCAGTAAGAATCTTGAAATGCTCGTACATTGTTGTTGTTATCTGCTGCAGCAGCTCCGTGAAGGCGTCCCAGTCTGGGTGTTGAAGGAGATCGTGTAGGAGTGGTAAGAACTCCTCCAGTAAACATTCTTCTTCAGCCTCATCAGGGGTATTCTCTTCTTGTCCTTGGGGTTGGTCTTCCCCTTCATCACCGGCGCCGTCTCCATCGTCATCGTCATCTTGGCGTTGAGACCGATCTTGATGGTCTGTGTTAGAGGCTGGTGACATCAGAGCACTATCATCAGGCTCTGGAAGAGGGCTAAAGGGGGGGGGAGTGGTGGTAGAGGAGGGGGAGGAGAGGGGATTGGGTGCTGGGGCAGGTGGCGTTAGGTAGAAGGGCTTTTAGGTGCAGTGTGAGGAGGTGAGGAGGCGGGTATGGACTTGGTAGACTGTGGGTAGGGTGGGGAGTTAGGAGGAGAGGGGGCAGGTGAGGACTGGGTAGACTGCGGGTAGGGTGGGGGAGTTAGGAGGAGAGGGGGCAGATGAGGACTGGGTAGACTGTGGGTAGGGTGGGGAGTTAGGAGGAGAGAGGGCAGGTGAGGACTGGGTAGACTGCGGGTTGGGTGGGGAGTTAGGAGGAGAGAGGGCAGGTGAGGACTGGGTAGACTGTGGGTTGGGTGGGGAGTTAGGAGGAGAGGGGGCAGGTGAGGACTGGGTAGACTGTGGGTAGGGTGGGGAGTTAGGAGGAGAGGGGGCAGGTGAGGACTGGGTAGACTGCGGGTAGGGTGGGGGAGTTAGGAGGAGAGGGGGCAGGTGAGGACTGGGTAGACTGTGGGTTGGGTGGGGAGTTAGGAGGAGAGAGGGCAGGTGAGGACTGGGTAGACTGTGGGTAGGGTGGGGAGTTAGGAGGAGAGAGGGCAGGTGAGGACTGGGTAGACTGTGGGTAGGGTGGGGAGTTAGGAGGAGAGGGGGCAGGTGAGGACTGGGTAGACTGCGGGTAGGGTGGGGAGTTAGGAGGAGAGGGGGCAGGTGAGGACTGGGTAGACTGCGGGTTGGGTGGGGAGTTAGGAGGAGAGAGGGCAGGTGAGGACTGGGTAGACTGTGGGTAGGGTGGGGAGTTAGGAGGAGAGAGGGCAGGTGAGGACTGGGTAGACTGTGGGTTGGGTGGGGAGTTAGGAGGAGAGAGGGCAGGTGAGGACTGGGTAGACTGTGGGTTGGGTGGGGAGTTAGGAGGAGAGAGGGCAGGTGAGGACTGGGTAGACTGTGGGTTGGGTGGGGAGTTAGGAGGAGAGAGGGCAGGTGAGGACTGGGTAGACTGCGGGTTGGGTGGGGAGTTAGGAGGAGAGAGGGCAGGTGAGGACTGGGTAGACTATGGGTTGGGTGGGGAGTCAGGTCTGGGTTGTCGGCGGGCTTCTTCTTGCACTCGGTGGGTTTTGCCATGGTTGAGTAGTCTTCTTTTTGTGTAGGAGCTTGAGGTGCATTTGGGGCGCTGGTGGCGGTGTCTAACTTCTTCTTGAGGTCTGTTGACAAGGGATCGTCGTTATCTCGGACATTTGTGCGTGCTGGGGCAAGTTCCTAAAACTTTGAGGCACCCAGTACACTTCTGAACCTTCCTATTTATCGGGAGGGCATGAACTTCACGTGGATGGCGGGCGAGTGACTGGTGCTTGCTTGTCCATACCGTTCCTGTATATATTCTGCGGCAGAATGGCTCTGTACAGTTGAAGTGGGGAGGGTGGGGAACCAGGTGGTGAGCACATCACCATTCCGCTGGGGGTTGTCGTTCTAAGTTTGGCGAGTGGGGTCGTGGAGGTATTGGTTCCCTTGCTGCCTTATGGTGGATACTGTTGTCACTGTCACTTGTCAGGCTGTTTCCATCTTCAGCAGGAGACAGTTGGTTGTTCCTCCCTCTGTGGATGAGTTCCCCAATGTGCTGGCTAAGGGTGCCTGGTTGGGGGTCACGCTGGGGAGGGGGCGAGTCCAATGACTGGATCTCTTCAATTTCGTCCTCCACCTGAGGCGACCTCAATGGCTGGTTCTCTTCATCAACTAGATACGATGACTGAATCTCTACGTCAACTTCTTCCTCAACCAGGGCGACCTCGGTGGCTGAATCTCTTTCTCAACACGAGGCGGTACCTGGATCTCTTCCTCAACACGAGGCGGTACCTGGATCTCTTCCTCAACACGAGGCGGTACCTGGATCTCTTCCTCAACACGAGGCGGTACCTGGATCTCTTCCTCAACTACAGGCAACCTCGGTGGCTGATTCTCTTCATCGACCAGAAGTGGGTCCTGGAGCTGGAGCACAGGGTCTTGATTCTGGGGTGTAGGTGACAGGGAGTCAATGAGAGAGCGCTGTGTTCCGTCGTAGAAGTCGTCAGAATCTTGGACAATTCTCCTAAAGCTGAATTCGGTCCTTCTGGCGCTGTTGAAGTCGGTCCCTCCATCGCTGCCCCATCATCTTCTTCTTTCTTGCTGTTTGATATTGGGTTGCAGCCCATTTCAACAAGTAATAAAGGCCAGTGTGTTAGGGCCGATCCCGAGCAAGCGCAACGGGATCCTTGCAGTAGGTGTCAACCTTACTTGGAAAGAGCGTGGAAGTCCCCCGTACCAGGACCGGCCTCGCCGAGTCCCTCAACAAAAAATCTTGGCCATGATGAGGTGGGGTTGCGAATCGTCTGGAGCTGGTCTGTGAGCACTGCAATTGCAAGTGCGTAATGCACACTACATGTGCATACACTAGTAGGTCAAACGACCTAGACAAGAGTTCAGCCAGCTACTCTTGTGCTCAACAGGCCTGGGGTGCCAATCCGCAGCAAAGGTGTAGCAAGCTCCTCTGCGAGCCGATCGGCGGCAAAGGTGGAGCAAGCCCCTCGCTGGCCGATTGGCGACAAAGATGGAGCAAGCTCCTAGCGCTACATGACTTTCATGTTCAAGTGAACTCAGCACACTTTGAACGATGTAGCAAGGCACCCTTTGACCTCCTGAGGCTTGATTAAGGCCAAGCGATACAAGTTACAGCCCCTCTCCTGTGCCAGGTAAGTCCACTACGGGCTAAAATTAGCCCGTGCTACTTGGAAATTTTTGTTCCAAGTAGCTAATCTTAAACAACGACAACAACGTATTTTCTTATCACTTGAGAATGAACCATGTAGGTTCGAAACGTTGTGCAATTTTATAATAAGTGTAATACATTCTATAGTTATTTACTTTTTCTTCACCTCGAAAACGAACATGAATTTTGGGGAACTCCTCTTCCAACTAAACCCTGATGCAAGAACACTAGTTAGAGGAATAGAAGCCCTAAACCAGAAAATAGTTAATACAGAATATGCTGTCATATTCAATGAGACATGTATATAAGAAAACCTGCTGCCAATATACACGAATAAGATTGGGTGGATATAAATAGGAGCTGCCTCGTATGGTCCAAACGGCCTTCTGCAGTTACCGTGATTCATGTGCTCTTAATGTCTGTTAACTCTCCAGAGTAAGATTTGCTGCCCAATTTGTGGAAATTTGCGTGTCTGTACATTACTCCAATTATCAGTTTGTTTATTCCATATTCTCAGATTTCACCTGCTTTCTTGTGTCGCACTTTCATCATCTTTCACACAGAAAGTAACACCACTTGTTATCAATTTTAATTACTAACAAGCCAGGCAGTGTCATGCAGTCTGCACATACGCCTCACTCTCCGGGGATTTCACGTCACCTCCACGCAGTACATAAGAGACCTATCTGGGTGCCACCTCCACCATCTGGTCACCACTTGGTCCGGGAGACATCTCCCGTCACGCAGGGTGCAGTCGCGCCTCCACAGATCTCCAGTATCAGCTCTTGATACTGGTAATGGCTCAAAAGGGCCACCACTTACGAGCTATTCATGCCCGTGCCACCTTTTGGGTGGCTTCATCTTCATAACACATTCACAAGGGAGACATCTCCCGTCACGCAGGGTGCATTCGCACCTCCACAGATCTCCAGTATCAGCTCTTAATACTGGTGATGGCTCGAAAGGGCCACCACTTACGAGCTATTCATGCCCGTGCCACCTTTTGGGTGGCTTCATCTTCATCTTCTTCATCTGTTTAAAACACGGGAGACATCTTCCGTCACGCAGGGTGCAGTTGCACCTCCACAGATCTCCAGTATCAGCTCTTGATACTGGTGATGGCTCAAAAGGGCCACCACTTACCAATTCATGCCCGTGCCACCTATTGGGTGGCTTCATCTTCATCTTAACACAAGGGAGGGATGTCAAGGGAGACATCTCCCATCATGCAGGGTGCATTCGCACCTCCACAGATCTCCAGTATCAGCTCTTGATACTGGTAATGGCTCAAAAGGGCCACCACTTACGGGCTATTCATGCCCGTGCCACCTCTTGGGTGGCTTAATCTTCATCAATCATCAATCAATCTTGTAAGCCCACGGGAGACATCTCCCGTCACGCAGGGTGCAGTCGCACCTCCACTGATCTCCAGTATCAGCTCTTGATACTGGTAATGGCTCAAAAGGGCCACCACTTACGGGCTATTCATGCCCGTGCCACCTTTGGGGTGGCTTAATCTTCATCAATCAATCATCTTCATCAATCTGCCACCTCCAGTTTCAGTTCCGCTCTTGTGCATGGTAAGTTCACTACGGGCTCACTATAACCTGTGCAACTTGAAACTTTGTGTTCCGAGTAATTGAAACTAAAACAGCAATAACAACGTCCCACCTCTTGTGTTGCTCAATCTTCATCAAGCACTTTCTAACATTACGGGCTATTCAT